GATAAGATTCTTTATGAAGCCTTTCATTTTATTTGTGATTTGTATTTTTTATTGTTTATTGAAATTGTTTTGTTTTTAGTTTTAAAGAAATGAATAAAGTCTTAAAGTCTAAAGCATTACATGACACGTATCAACACCAGGATCAGTCATACTATCTTTATATTTCCTTGGTATCAGATTAATTCCAGATTTTCTAACTTTTAACTCACATTTACTGTATTTTAAAGCAGGTGGTGTGGAAATTATTCAGGTTTTGGATCATCAGGAGTGGAGACAGAAAGGTGGATGAAAAGACTGGTGCAACATGTAATGCCTTTTTTAACCATAATTATGTTCAAAATTTATTCTTTTTTTGCCCTATTTTTAGATTTTAGTWATTGCTTTGCTACTTTATTTTTAGCTATTCTAGCTTTAGCTTAAAGCTAGCAACTTATTAATCCTTCCTTCAGCCCAACAAGCCCCCTTTTCAGATAAAACTAAATAAAATGTGTTCATAATTAGAAACTTCTGTAAATGTTTGAAGCGTTCGTCACAAAGTCGACAAAACAAACGAGCTCCCTGCAGAATCAGAACCTGGGCCCAGACTTCAGTACTAAACCGCTGTCGTCTGATTGGTTCATTTAAACACTGATTTAAATCACACTTCCATCCTCACATAAAGAGCAGAATTTTTTKTTTACATATTCAAGCAACTTATTTTCCAGGATCTCCACTGAGAAGCTTTGCCAACACTTTAAATCGCTCCTCCTCACACTCGGGGGTCCATTGGGAACTTCTCGTTCTCAGAAGTGGAGATAAGCAGCCGGTTGGGGAGGCGCCGGCGAGCGAGGAGCAGTTTGTTTTAAAGCTGGATGTGAGCGCAGCTTTGTTTCAGAAACCAGGAATCTTAGCATCATGCGACAGCAAACACACAACCGGCCCGTTTCCTCACCCAGCATGACGAGCGTGGTGGTCCCCTGCTCGTTGCCGGTGGGGTAGGTGGCGTACTCGCAGGTGTAGCGGCCGGCGTCGGACATCCTCAGGTCTTTGATCTTGATGGAGGGGTTCCGCAGGTCGTTGTGGAGGAAAACGACGCGCTCTTTGAAGGCCGGGTTGGGGAAGCTCTGGCCGTACATGGGGTGGAACACGGCGATGTTGTCCCGCTGACCGTCAACAGGTTCCCAGATCCAGGAGACCTGCAGATTAGGATTGAGCAAAAACACTGGATTACATTAGAGAGAAGMGATTCTGTTTCATTTAACCACTGGGTTGATTATATACGATGTCTGCATGTCTCTGTTTCCTGTTTATTTTTAAATAAGCTGAGAGTTTCTCCACCAGTCTGTCCCAGATTGACAGAAGCTTTGATTCACTTACAGATTCTCCACTAAAAGCCGTTCAGAGCGCTTCGTTGTGAGGTTTCTGATTGTGACAAATTTGTGCAGCAGCTGGACGAGAATCTGCCTTCAGGGAGAACGGCGTGATGCTTCGCCGCATTGATTTTATTTCTCTCTGCAGTTCTCAAACAGACAGGCGATATTGGCTAAAGTGGAGGAGCAGGAAGGAGAGGGACTCCAGCTCATCAATACGCATTTAGCAAACATCCAAACGTATGACATCTGCAGGCAGAAGTAAAGCCAAAGCTTCGTTTCAYGTGTTATTACAAATTAGTGCACGAGAGACCCCATTCACTGCAGAGAAAATACACAACACAAGTTCATTCAACCGTAATTTGATTCCTTTGGTTTTAAACTAATTATCTATCGATTCCTTTTACCACAGATCAAATCTGTCAGCGTCTAAAAGAAGCTGAAAACGACTCAAACATCTGTTAGCTCCGGGGATCCTGCACGTTTTAAACTGGAGCATTGATGGGAGGACCACTGAARAATGCAGAAAACTGAAGATAATAAGTAAAAAATATGGTTGAAGATGGTAGAAAGAAAGGAAAGGAAAGAAGAATAGCAGAAAAGGTAAGAACGATAGCTAAAAAGGCAGAAAAAAAACTAAAATCAGCCAAAATGGAAGCTGAAGGAAGATGAAATTAGCAAATGAAAAAAAAATTAAATACAGTAAAGATTTATGAAGGTTTTACGGATGTTCAAGATGCTGCATTTATTTTCAATGAGAAAAAAGTGGAGGAAAAAGCTAAATATCTCCAAAAGTATAAATAAATAAAATATCAAAAGTCATAGCTGAATGTCCTGAAAGAGCCGAAGGTTTTAATATATCAACTGTTGAAAGAGCACAAAAAATGCAGAAGATGCATGTTAAAGAGCATATGAAAGAAAAAAAATGATCTTGATATGTAATGCTTCAGAAG